CTCTCCCCCTCCCTCGCTCTCTCGCTATCCTGGGCCCGTCATGACCTTGATCCCCTGTTGGGCGAGACGGCGCTTCCAGGGGGGCCAGAGGGGGGCCCGACGCTGGGCGGTCCGAAGGGCCTTGCGGAGTTTCTCAAGGGCCAGGGCGCTGTGCGGCTTGCTGCGCGAGAGAGTTGCCGCGCCTCGAAGTCGCGGTTCAGCTGCGAAGCGAGGCTGGCGAAGACGGCAAGCTCGTTGATCGCGATGACGCCGTCGGAGATGTTGACGAACTTGGCGCCGAGCTCGGTCGCGGAGGCAACTCTGCGGGCCAGTTGAAGGTCTCGGCGCCGAACGGCTCGCGAGATGGGGCGCATCGTGTAGACCCTGCCAGGCAGGGGGCCTGTCTTGTTGGCATCGCCGGTAGCCCGGCGGACCGAATCGTCGCGAACCAGCTGGGCGGCCTCCGTCAGGAGGCGCTCGTGGGCGCGCCAGCGGCTGTCCAGCGAGACGCAGTTGAAGTTGGTGGCGTCCAGGAGTTTCTGGAAGTAGATGGCGCGAGGTCGCTCAGGCGATTGTCCGGGAGCAACGCGGCGTCGTGCGCCGCGTTCGCGTGGATCGAGAGCTCCTGGGTGGCGTGCGACGGCAGGTTGATGAAGATGCGGTCGGTGGTCGCGGCGGTGAAGTCCGAGCGGTTGAAGCGCGAGGGGAGCTCGGTCTCGACCTCAAGCATGGAGTCGAAGAGGGACTTCCAGAAGGGCTACTGCTGGCGCATGCTGTTGTCCAACGCAAGCCTGGCGTGCTGCGGCTGCGGCTGCGGGGCGCTCTGCGGCGAGCGGCTGGCTACGTTGAAGTCCCCGATCGCGATGAAGGTGCGCATGCGGTAGTTAGCTTCCGCCCATGTGCAGTGCAGCTCCCAGGCCTGCTGGACCTTGCGGCGGTCGGCGTCGGCGATCTCGTGATTGTGCGCATTCATAAGGACAGAGGTGGCATGCGCGACGGCGTGCGTGACGGCCACCAGCTGGACGCGACCAGGAACGAGTTCTTCATGAGCGAATAGCGGGAGCTGCTTCGGCTGCAGCTGCTCGAGCTCCATCGGGGTTAATCCAGGGGATGAGCGTGGCGCCGCCGCCCTCCGCCCCCTCGTCGTCGTTTTCTTCCTCCTCCCCCTCGTCCTCGTCGCCCTCGTCGTCGTCGTCGTCGTCGTCGTCGCTGTCCGCCTGGTCCCGTTGGCAACATACGTAGCAGAAAACCGAAACCAAAACACAAACATAATCCATCCATTCTCTGATATGTATGTATACATGTATGTTTGTATGTCTGCCTGTCTGTCTGTCTGTCTGTCCGTCTGCATATATGTATGTATGTATGTATGCGTGTATGTGTGTATGTGTGTATGTATGTATGTATGTATGTATGTATGTATGTATGTATGTATGTATGTATGTGTGTATGCGCATATGTGAGCAGGTGTGCATGTATATATGCATGCATGTATGTATGCGTGTCTGTATGTATGTATGTATGTAGGGTGTGGGTGTATGCATGCATGCATGTCTGTATGCATACATGTCTGTACGTATGCGGGTGTGCACATGTGTATGCATGTTTGTGTGTATGTATGTATGCATGCATGCATGTATGTATGCATGTGGGTATGCATGTTGGTGTGTGTATATATATGTACATCCATAAATAAATGTGCATGTGCGACCCTGGAGCACCCCAAGAGGACCCCGAGTCAGCCCAGAGAGGCCCCCAAGACGGCTTCCGACGGCGTCAGACGGGCCAGGATGGATGTATGTATGTATACATGCATGTGTACAGAGAGGGGGGGTGTTCCGTCGGCGGCACCGGGTGCGCCCTGCACGAACCCCCCCGGTAGTACTGGGGGGGTTCGTGCCACGTAGCACCGCCGACATGTATGTGTGTATGCACGTACGTACGTAGGTATATATGCATGCATGCATGCACGCCCGCCCGCATGCATGGATGGACGGATGGATGGATGCATGCATGTGTGTATGTGGAATGTACGTATGCATGTGTTTATAGGTAGGTAGGTCTGTAGATAGGTAGGGTATGAATGTATGTATGCATGCATGCATGCATGCATGTGTGTATGCATGTTGGTGTATATGATATATACATATACATCGGCACTCCGAACATTTATTCCGATTTGAAAAAACGGCGCTGCGCGAATGCAGAGCAAACGCTATGCTGGAAGGGCGCGGGGACGCGTGCGTCCTGGACAAGCGCGAGCAGCCGCGCCCCCGTGCGAGCCCCGATCCCGCGCGGGGGCGCGCTCCCGTTTGAGAGTGGCTCACCCGGGAAGCCGTTTCTTGTGCAGGAAGTCCTGCACGGTCGGCCCATCGGTGGCTCCTTCGGACGAGAACCCGAACCGCCGAGAAACCGTTTGCCATCGGATGTTTTGGGCGGTTTGCCCATGTTCGGTTTCTTCCGAGTGGGCCCGAAGACCTCGAGCTCGTTTTTTTTTTTTTTTTTTTTTTTTTTTTTTTTTTTTTTTTGTTTTTTTTTTTTGTTTTTTTTTTTTTTTTTTTTTTTTTTTTTTTTTGTTTTTTTTTTTTTTTTTTTATTATTATTATTATTACTATTTTTTTTTTAAAAAAAATAAAAATATTATATTATATTACATATATATTATTATTAATTATATATTACGTATTATATATTAAATATTATATATTATATAATATATATATACTATTATAATCATATATCATATGCCATATCTCATATTATATTATAGTATATTATATTACATTGTGTTGTAGTGTGTGTAATATATATATTATATATATTATATTATATTATATTATATGATATTTTATTGTATTATATCATAGTTAAATATATGATATATATATATTATATATATATATATTATATATAATATATATATATATATATATTATATTATATATCGGGTCGTCGCATGACCGAGCCCGAAAGCTTTTTTTTCCGAGGACGTCTTGTGCCGTTTGCTCATTTTCGGGTCAGTACACCGCTTGGGATTTAAACTGTTAAATTCTTAAGGGGGGCCCGATCCCGTGACCCCGGGCAGGGGTTGCGCTCTGCCCTTGCATTGTGCTGGGCCCCTCCGGCCAAACGGGGTGTCGGGCTGCCCATCGGCGCGCCGACTCTGCCCTCGCGACATCGCCCCCGTCCGCCCTCGGACCCCGCGGCTCTCATCCTGCGCGCGCCATCCCAGATGGCCCTGGCGAGCACGGTGGCGAAATTGTGGAAACTTTCGGATCGGCGCAGTATAGATGTACATGTACGACCCTGGAGCACCCCAAGAGGGCCCCTATTCAGCCCACAGAGGCCCCATAGACGGCTTCCGACGGCGTCAAACGGGCCATGAATGCCCTAAGACGGCCAAGGTGGCTCCCGAAAAAAACCCAACTGCCCCCAAGAGGCCCAAGGAGGCCCCCAAGATTCCTCAAGCTCCCGAGAAGCTCCCAGGAGGCTTCAAAAGTGCCCCCAGAGCCTCCCAAGATGACCCATCATTTTTCCGACAACGGCTAGGGGAACACATGGTCCGATAGCTTGGCTGAGCTCTTGCCACAACGCCAGGCCACATGGGCGATTCCAAAAGACAGGGGGCGGCGGTGATTCGCCGTAGGCGTCTTCGATCATATAAATCCACCTTGCCCCCGCACCAGAGTCACGACACATCCGTCGGCCAAGATGGCGGTCCTAAGTTCTGGGTCTCAAAAACCTACCAAAACCTGCAGTGCGATAGCATGTTTGGCCTCTAGGGCCTCCGGGGGATTCAGCAGGTATCCATATAGCTCAGCCTGGCCTTCAAACGTCCCAAGACGGCCCCAGAGGGCCCCAAGGGGGACCCAAGGCGGCCCCAGAGGGCTCCAAGGGGCTACCAAGAGCACCTCCAAAGGCAAACGTGCATGTTGCTTTGTATACTGACCATAGCTTCCCGTTTTCGCCCGCTCAAGCAGCAACAAGATGACCCCAAGACGGCCCCAGAGGCCCGCGAGAGGGCCCCAAGACAGCCCAAGCGGGCCCCAAGATGGCTCAAAGAGGCCCCCAAGACCGCCCAAGAGGCCCCCTTATGACGGCCCAAGACAACCCGAAGAGAGCCACAAGGCTACCCCGAGACGCCCTCATCAAGACGGGCTCCCAAGGGGCTAGACGGCGCAGTGGCGCCCCCAAGACGGCCCAAGATACGCCCCCGAGTCCCCAAGATGGCCCAAAGAGGCCCCAAGAGGCCCCCAGGGCCACCCAAGAAGCCTCCAATAGGTCCCCAAAAAGCCTCCCAAACTGCCCCAAATCACCAAGAGGCGCGCGGAATCATATACGAATGGCGCTTTGTTGCTATGCTCATCTGAATTTGAACTTAGCGTTGCCTTGTGCTGATGCTCGGTGAATTCGCATTGCCTTCGTGGGCATTCGAACGCTCGTCCCGGCACTGGAACGGGAGGGGGGGGCATCCGCCCCCCGTGACGGGCAGAAGGCAAGCCACCCAACATTTAGTCTTTACGTGCTCCAGGCGTGCACCCCGCGATGCGAGAGGATCAAAGCAACGGCCCGCAAATCAGAACCCTTCCTGAATCCCAAGCCGTATTTCAACGTTTTGGCTGTACAGTTCGCTATACCTGGCGCTCTGCTCTGCCGGCCGCCTGCTGCTCCCACCCACCACTTGCTGGGCTCCGCACGCGCTGCGGCTGCTGGCCCCTCCCCTGGGTGCATCGTGATGCCGCCCCGCGATTGCTGCCAGGGGCAGCCCTTCAGCCTGGCCGTCCCCGCGCCCTCCCCGTAGCATTTCTGCGTGGAAATGCCCCCGCGCTCCTTCCTGTCTCTGCGGCCGCTCTCTCCCCTCCTCCTTTTCCTTTTGCGTGCCGGCCAATTTGCGACTCCACAACCCAATGTTGCCATTCACGGGAGCGGATTGCCTCTGCCGCGCCGCGACCGAATCAAGTGCAGTTCGCGATGTGCCCCCCCGCCACTCCGGGCCCTCGGCGGCGAAGCTCTGCCAATTTTTTCTGGTGGCTTCGCGCGGCAACGGTGCGTCGAGACAGCGTCGACCACACTTTTCCGGCTTCGTCCGACAGTCCGAAGGCGTGCGCCACAATCTCAACCGTTCCAGAAATCGAGTGGTGGATCGACTACATAATTGATTTACCCTAAAATTGATTTCCTAGTCGAATCCATGAAACATGCGTAGAATCTTGATAGATAGATCTACGAACATTATACTTATGACTCGGCGAAAAAAATAATTTTGGGGTAAATCCGCCGACCCCTTGGGGTCACGGCGTGTGAGATGCTGCCCCCTCCCCAACCCCCTCCCCCAGGGGCCTGGTCCGGCCGGTTTGGAGCGGAGGGGCGGGGGGGGGGGGGGGGCAAACCCATCATCCGCATACTTGGAGCCACAGGAGGCCCCGAAACGGGCCAAAACGGGCCAAACAAGGTTCCAAAGGTTCCCGGAGCGGTCCAACAGAGCTACGAATCGACGAGAAATCGCCCCAAAACGCTGAAGATTGTCTCCACACGGCTCCAAAAGTCCCGAAGACGCTTGAAACAATATTACGAGGCGCCCCAAAGAGGCCCTCCAGAAGCAAAAATCGTCCCACTCCCGCGGGGAAGCGTACATTTTCACTACATTCGCCCATTCGGCTTCCACGCGGCGCAAAACGGCCTAAGAAGCCTCCAGTATCGACCCTCGCCAGCCCAAGAGGCTCCCAAAAAGGCTCCAAGACGGCGTCCGGGCGAGCCACGAAGGCCCCAGAAACCATAGCAACGACTTTGGAAAGCCGCAAGACGGACGTAAGAGGCCCCAAAAGGCTGTCCGGTCGGCCCGCGCGGGGGACGATTCGGTCAAACCCGCCCAAGATCGCCGCCAGACGGCCCCATGGGTGTCCAAGACGCTTGAAAAAGCAACCACGAAGCGCTCCAAGAAGGCCTCCACAAGCAAAAACCGAAGACGCTCCCAAAAAGGCTCCAAGACGGCCTCCAGGCGATCCACGAAGGCTCCAGAAACCATAGCAACGGCATAGAAAAGCCGCAGGACGGTCCCCTGAGGGCTCCAAAGCGTGCCAAGAGGGCTCCCCAAGGCTGTCCAAACGGCCCACGCGGGTGACGATTCGGTCCAAACCGCCCACGATTGCCTCCAGACAGCCCCATGGGCGTCCAAGACGCTTGTGTACGCGACCACGAGGCGCCCCAAGAAGGCCTCCACAAGCAAAAACCGTCCCAGAAGCCATAGCAACGGCCCGGGGGAACGGCAGGACGGTCCTAAGAGGGCTCCAAAACGTGTCTAGATGGGCCTCACAGGCTGTCCGGACAGGCCACGCGGGGGACGATTGCTGTCGCCCAAAGGGGTCGGCGCTGTGGCGTGAGCCAATGAATGAATCCACGTCCGGAAGTGACGTGCTGAGCGGCAGCGTTTTCCGCGGATGCTGTAATGCAGTGGATCGAATGTGTCCAATGTTTGCATAATTTCCACATATAGTATTGTGTTACATTATTATGTCTCCCCCCCTAACCCCCCCTGGGAGCTGCGCCGCAGGAGCGGACCAAAGTGGCCCCCCCCTCTTGGGGCTGAAGAACCTACCAAAACCACTAGAAAATCTATGATTTCGACCTCTTGGGCCTCTTGGGGGGCCAAGAGGGAGCCAAGACGGCTCAAGGTGGGCTCTGTGCGGGCCAAGACGGCCCCGAGACGGTCCAAGATGGTCCCAAAAGGGCCCCCAAAAACCCAATGACAGCCCAAGAGGGCCCCAAGAGCGCCCACAATTGCGCTTCCAGAAGCCAAAATCATTGATTTCCCTATGGTTTGGTAATCTTTTAGCGTTCTCGCCTTGGCGGCCCAAGCAGCTTCCTAAATCGCTCCATAACAACCCAAGAAGCCCCCGAGAGGGCCCCACTACGGCCCAAAAGAACCTCAAGACGGCCCAAAGAGGCCCCCACGACGGTCCAAGAGGCCCCAATCACAGCCCAAGACCCCAAGACGGCCCCAAGGCGGCCGCGACCGAAGAGGCGAAACGGCGCAACAGCGCCCCAATACTGCCAAAGACGCCCATAAGAGGCCTCAAAAGGCCCCCAAGAGGCCCGCAAGGGGCCCCAAAAAGCCGCCAAGAGGCCTCCAAGAGGTCTTCAAGAAGCCTCCCAAAGGCTTCAAAGAAGCCCCCCGAAGGCCACACAGCGACTGGAGTGTAATGCCATTTTTCCAACTTGGGCGAACTGCGGCGCAGCGCCAGCCAGGTGGAAGTTGGTCGCAGCGGCGCCCATGATTAGAGCCGGCGCTGGAAGGAAATATGGAAAGGGAGTATGAAAAGGAGGGAGGGGATAGAGACCCCAAAGAAGTCCCCAAGAGGCCCAAGGAAGCTCCCAGGAGGCCTCCGGGAGGCCCCCAGGAGGCTCCCAAGAGGCTCTGCGATGACGTGACTTTACGTGCTCCGGACGTGCACCCCGCGAAGCGAGAGGAATCAATTCTGTAGACGATCCCGTACTCGAAGAGAGGGCGGCCTGAGCTGGCGCTGGGGACGCCTGAGGCGTGCCCGCCGGCGGTCTGAGCCGGCGCTGCGGGGCAGGCAACTGCGCGGGGAGGCCCGAAGACGGGCCGTTCAGCTCGCGCCGCTGCGCCTGCGCGCGAACTCCTCGTACCTCGGGGGCGTCCAAGATGAGCGAACAATGGCATGTGTCCATGTGCGCCCTCCGCGGTCCCGCGTGCACACGCGACCGCACTCAAACGCAGGCCAGCCGAAGCCGACCAGGTGCACGGAGGCCCGAAGTGGGGCCGCTCAGCCCGCGCCGCCACGCCCGCGCGCGGACTCCTCGTACCTCGCGAACGGCTGAGAGGGTCGTTTGTAAATCGTTGCCTGAGGCACGTGCGCGGCCGAAGGGGGGGGCGCCAACGAACGTGTTGCAATGAGAAGAAAGGGCCGTGAAATACCTGGGGGAACATCATAGCACCGGCCATGATATCCACGCGGCCACTTCGTCATCGGGTCATCGTCCCCCCCCGTGGCCGCCCCCGAAGACCCCAGCTCACGCACGCTGGACTGGAAGCGAACGGCCTCCATGCAGTCGAACAGATCGTCATCGCAGCTGCCCTTGTAGCCCGCCTTCTTCGCGAGCCGGGCGAGGGCCTCGTCGTGGTCCATGCCGTGGTCGACCACGACCTCGGGCAGGAAGGTCGCCGAATACGTCCTCGTGTCGCAAGGACACAGCCAGCTGGACGCCGCGTCGAAGTGGACCCGCACGCCGTGCCTGCCGATCTCCCAGTCGTGCGCGTCCTCTCGTGCGCGGCCCGACCGACCCCTCTCGTGGCGAGCCCCTCGCCGTCGAAGCTTCCCTCTGGTAGCCTGCCCACGTCTTGGAGCGAGGCGAAAGGGTCGCTGCGGGCACATGCGCCGTCGACGGCGGGATGGATAAGAACGGGCTTCAGGTCGTGCCGCATCGCCGATGTATTCACGATGCGGCGCGACCGTCCGACAGGCCCCATCTAGTCTGGCCTCGTTCTGTATACTTCGAAAACCCCGAGGTCAACAAACTTTTGGCCAGCGGGCGCAAGAAAAATCAGACGCCTGTCGAGCGACAGGAGGAACAATCCGGAAGCGAGTTGGGCACTAGAGGAGGCGAATTGGAGCGGGCGGAAAAAAAGGAGCCGCGACCAACAAAACATGAAGCCCTTCTCGCGAGTGCCAGGTGTGCACCATGACGTCGTAGAGCGATTCTAATACGAGCAACAAAACATGGACATTTCCCTCTTTATCCACTAGGTTCCGCCGACCATCCGCTGGCGGACCCGGACCCGCCGCCGCGTTACCTCCGCCAGCCTCCGCCGGCGGCGACGCGAGCCGCAGGACGAGGCCCTTCCCATTTGCTTTGAGGGAGAACTTCTCCCGCAAACAAAACAAGAAGGACCTCGTGTTTCGGATATTCAGAAAAAGAATGGCCTTGTTCCTGACATGCTGTTCGCTCTCATCTTCAAGATGGGAGCGGACAGCGTGACAATAACTACACAATCGGGGGGGCAAACATCGAGTGAATAGCCCTAGGTGCAAGCCTTTCGTGAACGTCGAGGAAAACTAAGCCGGGTAACACTAAACGGGGTAACAGACCCACCTTAGGATCCAATCGGTGATTCTGCAACGGCCAGAGCAAAAAACTGCAAGGCTGTTTTTCTGCAGCGCAAAAAAATGTACTGCATTTTTGTCAACTCGTTGCGGAACAACTGCAAACAAGGCCCATCGACCGGGTAGCAGAGGCCCAAAACAAACAGTTTCGGTGCAGCAGCCGCAACTTTTCAACGCAAACAACATGTGGCAAATGCTGCATTCAACGCGAAAGCCGAAAGAACTGCACTGCAACAAAAATGCGCGTTTGTTGCCTGGAACCGGCCATTTCCTGTTACCCCGTCTGCTCTTAACCCGTCTCCGCTTCCCTGGCCCCTGAGTTACGGTCGGGAACTTTTGGTTCGCGTGTCGCTCCGCCGATTCTGGCCCACCACGCCTCGGCGCGACACGCTGTCCACTTGGCGCTCCCCAGGCATCCGGGCATCCATGTGCCGAGCTTTTCCCAGCCTCCCGCCCTGCGAAACGGAGCGACACGCCATCCGCTTGCAGGGCATAGCGTGTCGTCGGAGCCGCTTGCGACGTGCTAAGCAAAGGCTCCTGACCGTACACATGTTGCAACTCCGCTGAGGCAGGAGGGGGGATTCCCCTCTCCGAAGGAGGGGCCTCGTCATCTTCCTCTTCCCTCGTCGAAAGAGACGCCTCACCCTCTTCCTCTTCCTACTCCGACCGCTCCAGTTTTTCCGATGCGTGGGGCCCAAAGGTCTGGACCACTTCCCCACCTCTTCGAAAGAGACGCCTCACCCTCTTCCTCCTCCTGCTCCGCCCGCTCCAATTTTTCCGGTGCGTGGGGCCCAAAAAGGTCTGGACCACTTCCCCAGGACAGGTTCTTGGTCCTCAGCTGTTTTTTGACGGTCCTGAGGCCAGGCGAGGGAGGGCCCCAGGGGCCCCAAATGGCCAAAAAACCACCGCTCGAGAAGGAGGAGGAGGAGGAGGAGGAGGAGGAGGAGGAGGAGGAGGAGAAAGAGGAGGAGGAGGGAGAGGAACATGGCGAGGCCCATCCTGGAGCGGACGCCGTTCGGGAGGCCCGGGTCCTCGCAGTCCTCGAAGCTGTGCAGCAGGGAGAGCCGGCAGGACAGCAGAGGGACCTCGCCCAGCTCCACCGGGGAGAACCGCCGGTCCGCCAGCGCGCTGCGCAGCGCGAAGTCCGCCAGGCCACTGCCGAGTGCCACGGGCCTCAGCGTGCCCACGCACCCGCGGAGCTTCCTCGCCCGCCACTTCCAGGTCACGAGGTCCGGAGGTGGGCTCGGCCGAGACGGCGGCGGCGCTCTTCGCCCCCTCTGGGGGCCGCCTGGAAGCCTCTCGCCGCCTCTGGCCGGCCTGGGAGCTCCTCGTCGCCACGTCGGGATGGACCCGGGGAGGGGTTTCAGGGCCCGACTTTGAGCGGACCCAGACATCCGATGTCTTGATTTCCACAATGCGGGGTCCCTGGAAGTCCCGGGCCGTTCCGCAGGGACGGTGGTTCGGCCTAAGTGGTTTTCCTCTTGGTCTCGGGGCCCAGCGAGGGCCCCCAAAGGCCGAACACGACGAAAAACCTCCGTCTTGATTTTTCAATGCCGTGGATGTCTGGGAATTTGGGCCAGGCGGGATATTTGACCCTACATGAGCACGGGAAAAATGGGCAGGATGCCCAAAAACAGATGTTGCCCCAAACCACCATTGCCCGCTGTTTGGCAGGCGGCCTTCTGTCTCAAATGGACAACGCCCGCGGCGGCACCGACAGCGAGCCATGTTAAAGTGAGCAGGAACAGCTGCTGTCAGTCTTCAAAGCGTCGAACACAGATTGCCTTTCCGCCCGCCACCCGTGAGAAGGACGGAGAGAGGAAAATCACCCGATGACTGATGCAGAAGGCGCCCAGAACAAGTTGGCATCGGGAGATCCAAGCATACCCACATTCAGCGATCGGTGGGTGCCCCCCCCTAAGAACTAAGAGCCTGTAAATATTTACATCCTAAGATGCCTTATGCCGCCCTTCCATCGCCCCCTTTCTGCGCCTTCCCATTTGGGCACATCCCTCACGCAGATCCTTGCCCTCGGAGTGCCGGGAATGGTGCTCCGAGAGCTTTCGCAAAACGCAGGGCGCACCCCTCCCGCCTGGCTTTAAGTCGGGCGTGTCCCCCATACAGAGGGATTTTCGACGAAAAATGAAAAAATACATCAAAAATACCCAAAAAGGATCAAACAATATTTAAAACATGGTCCCCAGACTATTTTTGGACTATTCTTGGGTACTTTTTGGGGCATCCTCTGTTCTTCGTCGAAAATCCCCCTCTGTACGGGGACAGACCCGACTTCAAGCCCGGCTCGGCCGCCCCGCCGCCCCTCGGGCCGCGGGCGTCCGCGCCCCGCCTCGCTCCCGCCGCGCTGCGCCCGTCTGCCCGCCGCCCGCCGCTGCCGCTGCCCCGTCGCCCTGCCTGCTGCCTTGCCCCGCCGCCCTGCCGCTGCCTTGCCCCGCCGCTGCCGCTGCCCCGTCGCCCGCTGGGCGGCCGCCCTGCCTGCCGCCTCGGCCGGCGCTTCCCGGGCGCTCCCCGGGCGCTCCCCGCCGCATCGCCGCTGCAGCGGCTTCCCAAAAGACTTTGCGCGACTGTCGTCGTCGTCGTCGTCGTCGTCGTCGTCGTCGTCGTCGTCGTCGTTTTGAGATCAATATCGTCGTCTTCGTCATCGGTATCGTCGTCGTCGTTTGGAGATCAATCAGTCTTCGGTCATGGGTGGGTGGGACACGTCCAACAGGCCCCAAGCTTGGGCCAGTGGACCCTAGGCCCTAAGCCTCCCGATCCTGCCGGGGAGAGCCACCGCTGGCTCGGCTGGACCCCCCTCCGAGAAGAGGCCGGGCACGGGTGGGACACATCCAAGAGGCTTCGGGTTGAGCCAGTGGACCCTAAACCTTAAACCCAGACCCCCGACGTCGTGATTTTTGCACAACGTCGACCCCCGGCAGTCTGGACCCTTTCCCCGGGACCCGACCCTAAACCCTAAACCCTAAACTCTCACCCAGGCCCGCTTCGGCCGTACCCACCCACTTTATTGGGCGGCAAGCTCCCTTTACTGGCACCTAGCAGTTATACCACCTCTCGGACGGCAGGATCTCACGGGCGCCGCCCGAGGTGTCACAAGTATTGCCGTCATGCAGGGGCCCACTCGGACCTTATCCATTATCAATGACGGGCTATGCCGACAGGATAACCACGCCCGCTTGGGCGTCTCCTGAAACACTTATAATCCCAAAACATCAACCCTAAACCCTGATTGAGCTAAAAAACGAGAAATGCAAAACTGCCTTTATAAAGCGGAAGTCGTGAAAAAGTGATCAAACATTGTTTTTTTGCATCAGCATGAGCCAACATAAAAACAACGGTAAACGAGCACGAGTCACCACTAGCACTTGTTTTTCGACCTCGTATCTTAAACTTTTTCAGGGTGGACCCCCCGATCGGCTGGCTGGCAAAAGACGTTTCCTGGCAAAGCGGGCCCCCGCGGGGAACCCCTGGGACCTCCGAGAGGGTTTAGGGCTGACCGCTCTGGCTAGCAAAAAACGCTTCCTGGCGACAGGGGCCCCCGCGGGAACCCCCTGGGAGCTCCCAAAGCGTCCTGGAGCCCACCGCCCAGGGGCCCAAGGTTTCCCTGTTGGGCAAAACACGTTTCCTGGCGAAGCGGGCCCCCGCGGGGAGCTCCTGGGAGCCCCAGAGGGTTCAGGGTTGAGCGCTCCGGCTGGAAAAACACGTTTCCTGGCGACACGGGCCCCCGCGGAAACCCGCCTGGGGGGCCCCAGAGCGTTCTGGGGCCCACCGCCCAAGGGCCCACGGCTTTTCTGATGGGCAAAAGACGTTCCGTGGCGAATCGGGCCCCCGCGGGGAGCCCCAGCTCCCAGATGGTTTAGGCTTGAGCGCTCCGGCTGGGAGATGCGTGTCTGGGCCCCCCCAGCCCTCGCCTGGGAGCGCCTGGGAGCACCTGGGAGCGCCTGGGAGCGCTTGGCAGCGCCTGGGAGCGCCTGGGGGCGCGTGGGAGCGCCTGGGGGGGCTGGGAGAGCCAGGGAGCGCCTCCTGGGAACGCTTGGGAGCGCCTGGGGGCGCTTGGCAGCGCTTGGGAGCGCCTGGGAGCGGCTCCTGGGAGCGCTTGGGGGCGCTTGGGAGCGCCTGGGACAACCGAGAGCGCCTGGGAGCGCTTGGAAGCGCCTGGGAGCGCTTGGGAGCGCCTGGGAGCGCCTGGGAGCGCCTGGGAACGCCTGGGAGCGGAGCGCCTGGGAGCGCCTGGCAGCGCCTGGGGAGCGCATGGGGAGCGCCTGGGGGGCGCCTGGGGGGCGCCTGGGGAACGCCTGGGGGCGCCCGGGGGCCTGGGAGCGCCTGGGAGCGCCTGGGAGCGCTTGGGAGCGCCTGGGAGCGCCTATGAGCGTTTGGGAGCGCCTGGGAGCGCTTGGGAGCGCTTGGGGGCGGATGGCAGCGCCTGGAAGCGCCTGGGAGCGCGTGGGAGCGCGTGGGAGCGCGTGGGAGCGCGTGGGAGCGCCTGGGAGCACACAGGAGCGCGCCCCAGGAGCCCCCAGGAGCTCCCCAGGAGCCCTCAGGAGCGCACCGGAAGCCCTCCTGAGGGCCATCCAGGTTTCTCCCAAGGCCTTCCAAGGCACCCCAGGAGTAGCTCCCGTGAGCACCCCAAGAGCACCCCAGGAGCCCTCCAGGAGCACCCCAGGAGCACCCCGGGAACCCACCAGGAGCCTCACCAGGCCCCTCCCCGGAGTTCACCAGGAGCACCCCCAGGAGTCCTCCAAGCGCACCCCAGCTGCCCCCTGAGGGCCCTCCAGGGCTCTCCCAAAGCCTTCCAGGCTCGGGCCCCCGCGGGAAGCCACTGCTGGGCACCCCACGACCCCCGCCGCGGTGAAATTGCTCCCGCCCAGGGGTCCTGGGGTCACCAGAAGGCCCAAATCCGTTTCCTGAAGATTCGAGCCCCCGCGGGAAGCCTCTGCTGGGCCCCCCAAACTCCTGCCACTGTGAACTAGCTCCCGCCCAAGTGCCCTGGGCACCCCCAGGAGGAGCACCCCTGGAACCCACCAGGAGTCAATCAGGAACACCACAGGAGCCCTCCAGGAGCACCCCAGGAGCCCCAAAAGGAGCCTCCTAGACCACCGCCACGGTGAGTTAGCTCCCGCCCAGGAGCCCCCCAGGATCTTCCCAGGAGCCCACCAGGAGCCCCCTAGGAGCCCACCAGGAACCCCCCCAGACCAGCGTTACGGTGAATTGGACACCGCCCAGGAGCCCCCTAGACCCGCCAGGAGCCCCTTCCAAGAGCG